CCAAGAATGCTGCTGTAGCCAACGACACATTTGAAGATAGCAAAGAGTTGGGGGTTGAGATGGAATAGTCGATAAAAGAATTGTAGATTGCGAACTCAACGAAATCAATATCGAAGGCCAGTAATGAATGATGTTTTGCTTGCCAACGACGGCAATGACGGAATTTGCAATTTTTCATTGTGTGCTCTTTGCTTAAGCAACTAGTGCATTAAGTGTACAAGAACGCGATAGCGCTATCCATCACACGAGATCACTACGATTATGTGAGCAAGCCTTGTTGTTGGCTGGATGGTTTGAAATTTTAGCTGCCTGATAACTTTGTTTATTTTGTGGTATGCGGCACTCGTTATCCAGCAACCATTCAAGATGGAGATTTGTCGATAAGCAGACACTCTGCCCATTTCGCTCGTGACTGTGTATCAAATTTTGATGTGATCTAGTGCAGAAAGAATCCATCCGCAATTTTCTTTTTGTGTATATAGATTGCAGCGCACGCATATGAGTCTTAATCTTTTCACTAATTCGGCGTATATTTGCAGCACTGCCCCTCAATTAACACCTTTCAACCCAGAAATCTGCTTAATGGGTGTCTGAAAGATAAGAAGTTTATTATCAAATTGTTTGTTCAATAATTCATTTTTTAAAGAAAGAACAACAGGGTAGATGCAAACCAAAATAGTCAAAAGCCAAGTCTTTAAAAGCAACGGAAAGCCGCTTATATCAGGTTTTCACAATTTCTATAAACAAAATCAAATCAAGACAAAATCAATTTTTATTCATATTTACAACAAAATTATGTGGAAAAGAAGAAATCGTTGTCCTGAGCGCTGAGTGTTATTTGATCTATAACAAAGGTTATTTGGAACTAGAGACTTGGAGGATCAAACCTTTGGTTAATTAATCTTCATACTATAAGAGCATTTTTTCTCAAAGTAACACATAAAAGCTGCCTGATCAACCGTAAAGATTTGCTTGGATATTTTCGCGAAAAATGTAGGTAAAATAAGTTAGGTTGCCGATCAATGTTGTTGAGATTTTACTGATGAAATAATTCGCGACCATATTATCATATACATGTTACTGTTAGAACTGCAACTCTACAAAAAAAAGGCGCACCCATCAAAAAAACTCAATAGAAATTAAAACTAAATGCCATTTGAAATAACATTAAGAAATTTCACTTTAAAGCAACAGCTAGCAGTGTTCACCAAAATTTAGATTATGTTGTGATTGTTTTAAATTTTTGACTCAAGCAAAAGAGCTATTCTAAACTTTAAAGCATACATACGCCCAAAAGACAACGCTAAGCGTACATTTTTTTGTCCTTCATTACGTAGAGTGAGATCTTAAAGGAGCTGTAAATGCACATATTGATATTGAATTTTAAATCCTTGTTACAAAATGCAGTATACGACTATGTTACTTCTTATAAGAGAAGACAGAATATCTTCATCGTATAATTATAGCTTGTGGCATATTACTTTATGAAACTGGGCTACAAGCCTTAAGTGAGTTAAACCCTATAAAATGTATCACTACCAAAATATTATACCGAACTTTGCTGCTGGTTACAACGTTTGCGTATATCACTGCAAGAGGTTTCTACAGGTTTCTTTCTATCATTGTTCTTTGCAAAAGTTTGTTTTATAGTTCCTTGTCGTAGCTAAGATTTTTCAGAGTTAAAATAAAACCTTCCTTTCTTCGACAATACAGGACCTTATGTTACGATACGAAACACCGAGTAATTCTTCCATTTTTTTCTTTCAAATCCTTAAAAATTTCTAAAAATTTAGTTTCATCTCCTTGAAAATAAATTATTGAATTTAAACCAAATAAACATTTTAACTATATAAATAATTTTAGTAATTTTTTTTTCAAGAGTGTTCATTCTCAACTAAATATTTCTATAAGCAATACTTTAAAACTAAATATTCCGACTAATTTCTATTAAATGAAAAATAAAATATATTTTTTCAATAAAAAATTGTACTCAATAAAATCATCATAAATTAACTTATATTAGTATAAAAATATTCAATTAAAATAGTTTCATAAAAGCTTCACCCGTTTTTTAATTTTAATATTTCAAAAATTTTGCAAAATTAGCCCGATTTTGGTGGTGAAATTATTTTTTCATCAACCTTCGCAAATCTGCAGGAACACGATCGATTCGTACTCAAGATTGTAAAACATGGAATTTTTGTTTTTACAATGAACATCATTAAACAAGGCTGACTTGCGCTAATATCAACTTTGATATTCTTCAAGAAAAAATAAAACAAGCAGAAATCAAAAGGAAGGATATCAGATCAAATTAGCTCAACTCTCTAATTTAGGCTTTATGCATATCTGGTTCATAGCCAACAAATTGAAAAAAATGCGAAAATGTATTTTGGACACTTTGATTGTTACTCATCAGGGAAAATTAATCCAACGCTCCTAACTCAAACGCAATTCAAAAGTGAAATTGAAATCCACAGGCCACAACCGTTTGATGTTGGCAGCATATACATTGAAAAAAACGTGAGCTTACCCAGAATCATATGTTGTACTTACCATATCATTGCCATTAACAGATCACGACCAATTTAAGCTTTATTATCTACTTCCTGTTCCTAACTCCATAAATATGATAGTTACAAAAACATGCAGTTCGACACTAACATGAATCCAGAAAACTGTTATTCATACGCTGTGGACTCTAATGCGATACAACTTTGACGCCGAAATATGCTCAAGTGAAACCGGCCTATATTCAGCAACCGGACATATTCAACATTATTAAATGCGCAAGGAACAACAGCTTGCGGAAAAAAACATCCCACTAAATTTAGAATGAATTTTTTGTTAACCATAAAAGGAGACGATGTCCTTAAATATGACTTTACTCATGTGTTATGTGAACAAGCTATAGCAACAACACTACTCTCAAACTGCACGCTTGCTCGAAATTTCTCGGAGTTGTCATATCAGCATCTCCCAAAATATAAGCTCATCGAGAACTCCAGTTACTCGTCAACGTCAGATCCGAATGCAACGCAGTTCACCAAATTGACATCTACGCAGTGTAAAATATATAACGAATCCTGGAATTCAACATCATTTGAACTCAAAACGTGATTTTAGTATTGCAAGCTTCAAAATTCAAGTTTAGATATATGACCATATGACCGAGACGCTCAAACTACGTTGACAGTTGGTTAACGCATGGAAGGATGTGTGATATTTAATCAATAATGTGGTACACCATTGTTTTCGTGTAAAGCAAAATTGCTTATTTGGTCGAAATAATTATGTTATTCATTAAGTTAATATTGCATAAAAAGCCGATAAAACTTCGACACTTGGTGACTTATTATGTTGAAATTGAATATGTATTCTAACATTCACAATCACCTTTTACTTACAAGCACTGAAAATGTACATTTAAAACAAATTCGTGTCAATAGGCACGAAACATTTGAATTGATAAACACTAATATATTTTGAATTTCTACTTACATCCCATCGAGAAATATGGATGTATTGCCAAGTTGAGTTATTTGAACGAAATGTTACTCAACAATATCGCTAACACATCCTCTATTTTTTCATTTCAGCATGGCCTTCTAAAAGGAAAAACAACCGTTACGAAATTCTCAGAGTTCGGGTGTCATTTTTTTAAGGCTTTTGCTTCCCGTCATGTTTTCAAGGTTTGCGCACAAGTCTTAGCAAAGTTATTGAACTAGTTAGTCAGAAAGTAGTGATCTTTATTTCGAAGCCTTGGTTTTTCGTTTCCTAGCAACCGGATTTGTGCTGTTGAAAGACCCTTCTCTCTCTTCGTAGGTTTGCTCAGTGAAAGAACGCCATTAACAGTATTTTTTCATTCAGGAACTAGCACGCTTTCACTAAGCCATGAAAGTGCTACACTGGGTTGGCCTTCAACTTAACTTCACAAAGGTTAATAAGCACTCTGTTCTAGTTTAGGAGATCGAAAGAAAAAAACCTTAGATCTCACGGCATGTTACAAAGATTATGGCACATTAAGTGTCGATCGGATGGCTGAAAACAGTGTAGTACCTACGATGTACAAATTTTCAAAATCATATGTTAAGGTTTCTATCCGCTGGGTGTGTAAAAAACCAGCAGACGAATCAGAAAAAGATGAGTATCACTCCGATCACTGCGATCTTGCGACAACAAATTCCGCAAGCATGGCAGTACACTATTCAAAATGAGTGGCTTCTAGTCCACCAATATTTAATAAAATAATCAGCTTAAATTCTTAAAAAGGTAGAATTTCTAGACAATCCTATTTATACGTACTTACGCAGATCCTTGTTGCCTTCTTTTGGTTTTACTATCAAAAAAAGTAAAAAATGTATTTTATTTTTATGAATTTTAATAATTAAGTTTTCAAATAAATAGATATATAAAAGCTATAGCTTCAAGTGTAATTTTAAACTCAATGCATTATATTAAGCCCAAGTTTAAAAAAAGAAAAACAAAATTACATTTTAATTATTTTTTAATATATTTACAAAATTGAACTAACTACTTGCAAACTTGCATAACATATTACTATAGAAAATACAAGTGAAATTGTTATAATTAGCCTGTTTAAACGGTCCAAAATATCATTCCTTTCATTTGTCCAAGCTGATTTCTCTAAGTGCACTATTGAAAAAGGAAATTAAAATTCTCAATTGCTACTCTAGCTCACTACAAAGCATTTTTAATTAGTACCAAAATTATATGATTTATGATAATATATTATAATTGATCAATTCTACCTGAAAACTGAAGTTTAATGGAATGTTGCACTCTAAGCAAAGATGCGTGTCGCCGAATAATGTGGTATTTTAACTTGCACAAGTTTAAGATTAACTACTTGCGATTGCCGTGATCTTTCATATAAGCATACGAACGACATAACTCTGAAATTGTACTCAATTGTACTCAATTTTCATAGCACGTTTTCAAGAGCTCCACCCTTTACGTTGACAACGAGCTGAATGAAAAATCAAGTAGCACCACTTATAACATTATCACTGTTTTCTTTATAGTTTACAATACGTGTCTATGAGATTTCACGGTTGAAATACATATTAAGTCTTTATATACGCCTGAAAAAAAGGTCGCCCAACTCACATCTGCGAAAATTATTGTTAGTTTTGTCAAATTTAGAATATGCAAACGAATTTGGAGCAAAATTATCAGCACATTAAAACAAAAAATGCAGTAATATTAAAAGAAAAGGCAGATGGAAGGGCCCTGCCAAATGTTCAAATTGTAGAGCGCATTACGATAGCTAACATCAACATCTGCTAACAGCACTAAAAACACTTAAAGCACAAAATTTATCTTAAAATAAATAAAATTTTATATATGAATAATTTGCTACGTTCGCAGAAACAATTTGCCTATATATTATTACTAAGAAGAAAAAATTGTTAATGCCGCCGCATATGTAAAGAAAGGTGGTCGGAACGACTAAAAGATCGTGCGCACAGCTGGCAGCGGAATGGTTTAACACCGGTGTGCTTACGATAATGCCGGGTCAATTCGTCCGATCTAGCAAAGCGCCAGACACATCCTTCCCACGTGCATACATACGGCTTTTCACCTGAAAAACAAAGAATGCAAAATAAAGTAATCAGACAATTGGGACCTGATTTTTACCGGTGTGAGTGCGTTTATGAGCTTTTAGGTGGGAACTTTTAGTGTAAACCTTCTCGCAGCCTTCATTATCGCATTTATGAACCTTCTTTTTAGAGAAATCGGTATAAACATAAGCTGAAGGATTGCTGCGTGATTCAACAGCACGTCCAAATGTACTGCTTCCACCAGAAACAATACTGCTAAAAGCTTTCTTACGGTCATCATTGTTATTAAGGGCACAGAACGCTCCTTGAAAGGCATGATTAAAGGCCGAAGATTGCTGGGTTGTGGAAATCAATTTCCAAGCCGGAGTATTAGCAGGGTTAGTATTTTGAGCTTTGTAGCCAAGTGGAGTAAACTGAGAGCTAGAAATAAGTGAAGAAGAAGAACTCGATATTGAAATATGGGATGGAGAAACAGCCGTTGTCGTTCCTGCTCCTAAGACAGATGGCGTATTGTTAACAGCTCGGCGTTCACTGTATTTATACGGATTTCTAAACAAGCTTAGTAAACTAAACTTTCGATCGTAGTCTTGACAAAATGAACTACTACTAGCTGAAGTGGTGGCAGAAAAATTTCCCCTTGACGAACTGGCATGCAACACTTGCGCCTCAATACTAGCACCCAAATGGTGCAAGGGTAGTGTACTGTTCACATTATTATCACTGTGGTCTGAAAAGCCAATATTATTATTATTATTTTCTTCTTTTAAGCGGCGATAAGCGAAGAGAAACGGCGCTCCGGCCAAAAACGGTGGTAACTGCAATTTAGATATTGCTGCACTTGACTGCCGATTGACGGTCAATGATGTTGATGATGTGGTAGATGAAGATGAAACTTTAGAACTGTTGCTACTACTACCGCTGAAAGGATTTCCTGAACTTATGCGATACGAGGTTTTCCACGAATTCAAGTCAATATTAGACTTTAAACCACCTGATGTCTTGTAGTTTTGCTGAGATCCTTTAAAGAAAATTAGAAATGAAACCATATAGCTATATTAATAAAAAGCAAATAATAGATTAAATCATTGGAGCTTCAGAAATTCTAGACAAGTAAATTGCTTTTTATACGCTTAGTGCATTGCAACCAATTTGTTTCTCTAGGGTATATAAAAAGTCAACTGAAATATAAAACACAAAGATATTGCAAAGATTTTACTACAAAAATCATCGCCTTTAAAATAACTATACTTGCTCCAATTCTTTTTTTGTCCGTTATATCATTGAATCTCCTTTGCACATAATTAGATATCATATGTACTTCGACACATAGTCATCTATAAGTACATATTTGCAGATGTATATAAATGATTCGATCTTAGAAGATATAAATGAAGAGAATATCGTACAGAATTGTAAGCTAAAAGAAAGCGACATCACCCTTTCGAGATAAAACTTCGATAAAGAAACAAGTAGATGCGCTTGTATGGATGTAAACAAGCGGGAAGCTTTTCAGGGAAAGATTTCGGCTAAAAAGATTACAAAAAAAGAGAAAAGATGGTGCTTGATTTTGGGCTCGCATTGTCTCCGTTTAAGGAGAGGTTAATGAAAAAATACCCAAAAGACATCCTTGTGGATTTAAGTGAAGGGATAATTTTGCCGAAAATCAAACACGTGAGACGCCAATATGTTATCAAGATTCATAGACGCGTTAGGGCTGATTTAGAATGCGATCCTATTTAAATCTGTATACATTCAGCATTTCTCTGCTGCCCTCTTTTGGGGTACCCAGTATCCGCAGAGGACACCTAATGCATGTACTTATGAATCATTGCCGTAATGCAATATTGACATAGAAGAAAATTAAAGAAAGACACCGTACTTAGCAGCAAAATTGCAAAGCTAAAGCACAAAAATCAACTGTACAGAAAGGTTCATAACGTAAAATGTGGCGGAAATATAATTAATACGAATGTCGCAAGGTTTAAGTTACAATTGATATAATAATTTGTACAGATCTATCCTATGACTCCAGGTTCGGACTGATCGCATAATTGAGAGCGCACACGGAAGAGCTGGATAGTAGCAATTTATACAATGTAGTGGGACCCACTTCCCCGCTTTTCCACCATAATTTTTAGCCATCGACGCGAAGAATTCCTTCACCTGCCAATTTAGGACCGGTGTATCCGCAAGATGCAAATGTTCTCGTAAGAAAGCAATCACATGTAATTATTCATTTCAAAAATTTCCAGTCAGCTTCACAATTACATTCGTAGTGGTATTCCACTCAATATGTTTTTTGTTGATGAAATATGCTTGTAGTTAAAGATGCTTTTTTTTTGAAGAAGTTTCACTTTTGTCCGTTTATAGTTTTCCAATTTTTTCCAAAAAGGAATTTCATATAAATAAGAAGTTCTTCTTCTAAAAATTTTTAAAACAAAAATAAAGCTTTTTATTCTTTGAAAATTGTAGCTATCTAGGCTACATTATTTTTTAAAGTAGTTAAATAGAATTTAGACGGATTAACAGCAAAAACAAAAGTTTCAAAATAAATATATATATAATGTCAACATAGCAACAACAACAACAGCTGCAGGAGCCCAGCATATTCCGCGTCAAATAAAACTAATGGGTAAAATTTATCACTTATTTATTTTCTTTTTTCGCATAACCATTAATTAATTAATAAAGTAACTGCACAACTACTGCTAACTTGGCTGGCAATATATAAAAACTTAGATACGTAGATGTATATGAAACAGTTATAGATATCCTACAGCCGCGTCACAATACTCTATATAGAGAAGTGGCGTTAGGTAATCTATCTGGTAGCTATTGGCCTAAAATAATACTCCTGATACAGTTTAAAAGAGGGAACATAACGGTCAACGACTAAATAAATGGATAAATGATTTGACAATAAAAAAAAAAGAAATAAAGGGAAAAACTAGAATACCAACTTAATTCACGTTATGCAATGTTCAACAGGTTGGCTTGAAATGATTCTAAGAAGTCTCTTTAACACTTACAACTTGGTGATCAAGCAGGAACTGAGTACTCTGGAGGCGGCCTTACTAACGAGGTATATAAAGGGTTGCAGACATGTGAAACTTTGAACCCTTTTGACCATCTCCTGACAAAAACAAGGGCAGATTCAACCTTCTTCACAGTTGCATCAACGTGTAGGCTAAACTTGAATTTAGAACCAATTTATCATCTATAAAACTTGATATATTTTCGAGGATATTAATATGGTAGAAAATTGGTAAGATGGCATGCAAGTAAACAGGTCTGAACTGTTGACTTAAAACAAAGAACGATCTTTACATCATCAGTAAACACTAATGGTGCTGTCACAATGGGGCGTCATTTTCGTTTTCTTATTAAAAACTCCCAAGCTGTAAACACAACGGACAACCGCTCTACCCTATTGGTTTACAGGAAAATATTGTTATGAAATTCGCTTTTGCTATGATACAGTCCGTATCACTAGATCGTGGATATTTTGATCAAGAGAAATGCACTTCAAAGTTCTTTTATGTTACTACTTTGTCTTTCACAACAGTAGGAATATTTATTTACGATATATTTTGGCCGTACTCTCAACTTCTACGTTCTTGCCAGACTAACTCTACTTTTCACAAATATTCGATTTATATACAATTTTGCAAGAATGTTACTATATCTAAATTTATGCACTTAGCTTTTACCTGTTTGCTTTTCCACTAATCGTTTTCATTGTCCTGCAGCTGCATGAGGCGCCTGCGAATGTTCATTTGGTTTTCCCTTCTTTAGGAAATTTATTCTTACGAAAATTACTTAGCTGACACTTAACTGAATTTGGGATTTTCGTAACAATATAAAAAAATAAAGAAGTCAAGGTAAATGTAAGCAACAAATAATAAAAAATAACAATAAGGAAATTAATGTAAAAGTAAACACATTTGTTCGTTAATTAGACATAAATATGATTGGGTAGATATAATTGGATATATATATTATATATATTTTTGGGTAGTGAAACAATTTGATCGATATATCTCAACCTTAAACTAATTGGTCTTTATTGCTTGTTTTTGATATGAAACAAAACTGCAAATCACGTAATATAAAGAAAATGTACATTAGTGTAAGCTCAATAAAAATTAGATAAATAGTGTTCCGAGGGAAATAGAAGAAAAAATTCCATTGCATATATCAGACAAAGATAAATCAATTTCATAACCGTCAAATTCCACGTCGGACAAAGCAGTTCTAAATAATTCAAGTTTTCTTCTCTTAAATAAGAAGCGTTTGTGAAAGAAATTTTATTTAGAGATATTGTTTTCAAGAAGGCAATGAAACGTAAGCATCAAAGTTTGCTTTATTTTTTGTTTTTTTTCATTGCCTGATTGCATAGACTATGTCCGTTATACGTACGGGCACAGTGGTTATCTAGAGGGGTTATAAGAAGAGAACGTTGAAGAAAGGGACTAGTGTTTGTAGACGATCGACTTGAAAATGGAGATATGAAGCAAGTTGAAAAGGTCACTCCTCGTGGGTTATTCCAAAGGTGCGCGGTTAAACAACAAACTGTGTGCGTAGTGTGCTGCATAACGTTTGACTTTTCGGTTGTAAGCTCAGCGGCGAAGACTGGCAGCCTGCGGAAAAAATTTACAGGTCCGAAATATTGGTGTATTTGGAAGAGAGATGAAAAATGAAAGAAAAGGAAATAATAAAGCAATAAAACCACACGTTGTCTGTGTCGATTTTATTTGCCGCTTTTATAAGGAAAATAAAAGAGGAACTTTTAAAGATATCTTTTTTAAACTTCATGTGCGAAGTACTCAAAACTTCTAATTTTGCCTAGATAACATTTACGAATAATAGAAAAAAAAAATTATCAACTAGTACTCTGTAAAAGCGAAATGCAAATCAATAGGAACAAAATAATGCATAAATGTTAATAAAATTTCGCTTTTGCGCGAGTAACAACATGTAAAAATTACTATTTTTGATATAAAGATTGCTTTTGTAGTGAAGATTAGTATTTTTGATAAATTTCTATATATACAATATAAAAATATATGTATGAAAAAGTATATACGAATTATAACCTAAAAAAATTGTGCATTTTATATGAGAAAAAATATAATATGACAAATAAATGTTATCTGAAAAATCCATAATTTTTACATACATGAACATCGTTATGTATCCTGATGTCCAGAACATGATTCCTATAATCTTTCTTATGTGATAAGTATTGTTGCTTTTGTGGAGTTTTATTATGCTTCTTAATGCTACTTCAGAATTCGCCATTTATCTCGTCGTAGCATTTACATATACACTTGGAATATTTCATTCTCTTCTCTTTTATCTTTTAGAAAAAAAAACAGGCTTTAGTTTATATATTTGTTTTTATGACTTAAGGCATTATTTTACTCTTTAAGAAATTCTTTTACTTCGTTACATATTGCTTTTAAACGTATTGCTCTTGCCGTTTTTGATATTGCTTACCTATGTGAACATGTATGGTTGATGTAATATACTAGTTTTTGTGTATATATATTTACATTACTATTATATTATATATTATATTATGTATTGTTTATTTAAACGTTTCTGTTGTTATTGGCGTTGGTTTATTTATTGAGCTATTGCTGTTGATTTGTTTTATACTTTGTTACGTTCGTTTCGTGAATCGATTCTCCAACGTTTGGTTTCTTTGTGCTGGTTTGTGGAGGTATGGTTTTCATGCCCTTGACCAGTTGTCATTTGTCCCTTTTAGCAAATGTTTACGGCCGAGACTTTGTTATCGGAGAGTAAAATTTTATATTCAATGTACACTAGTAGTTAAAGCTATTGTTTTATACTCATAAACCAGTTCACGTTTTTGAGTCTATTTTGTAGATTTTTTTTTTTTTGGATAATTTTATTTTTTTATGTTAATTAATATATGATAATTATTAATTTGCTAGGATTATTCGTTTTAATATCCTCAAAATATAAAACCACGTCCATTTTCTTCAGCCAACA